CCTGGTGACTCTGTGGAATAATCATGCCAGTAGGCAATAGTGTTTGGATATTCACCTTGTCCTACTGTAGGAGAAACAAGACCAACCACAACTTCTGTGACATTTATCTTGTGCTTAAGCTGGCCTGTAGGGACACCTCCACAATCAAGGTCTCTATTTCATTCATCACTGTGTTAATCACATTCTTCCCCTTCCTCTTGGTGCTAGTATCCTATGCATGTAACCCCTCCACAGTCCTGAAGACTTCATTGCCAGAGGGAAGGCACAAAACCTTTTCTACTTGTTTTTTCTTGTCTCACTGTTATCATTTTTTTTTTTGCCCTTACCGGGATTATGTATGTGAGGCCAACATCCAATCATAAAGGGGATGTAGACTGAGTAATGGCCTTAGTTTATACTTCCTTCATTCCCATTTAGTCCTATGATTTATAGTCTGAGAAACAAGAAGGTGAAGGAAGCTCTAAGAGGCTGAGTAGGAAAAAGGTTTTTTAAAAGAAATTATATGATTGTGTTAGCGGTGTCCAGAATGCTCTAGAAATAGCTTCAGTGAAAAAAAACTCCACTCTACACATGCTAGATACCAAAATAGAGGTAATTTAGCTACCTTGGTACAATGCTAGGCAAATACCAAAGAGCACTCCTGAAAGAGTGACATTATTAGCTGAATTAATATGGCCACATGACCTTATGTTAGTTCTAGGGGATAGTCTGTGTAAAGAGGGCTTGTCAAGCTTTAATGCAGTGCTTTCTAGTACAGTCTGGAGGCACTTTAGATTTTCATTCAGTTTCTGGTCTGCACTGTAGGTGCAATGTACTTTAAACCACAGAAGAAAAGACTAATACCAAAATTGAGAGAGCCTTGGCAAGTGGGGTGTTTTCTCAGCCTCAGTTCCTTTGTGAATGGACATGGAAGACTGCAAAGTGGTCTCAGGAGATCTTGCCTTGGGAAAGGGTGTTGGGAGTTTCCTGTGAAACCACCTTGCTATGAAGGAACCACTTGCATTAAATTAGCCAGATTGCTGTGCTTACTTGCACGTTATCTCCTGGACTCAACACCATCATTAGATGAACAGCTTGCTGGGGTTGTTTGACCCCAATACTCTTTCCTGCCATGGCAGAGGGTCGGACTTGATAATCTGCTCAGGTCCCTTCTGACCCTACCAACTATGAAACTATGAAACTATCTCAGGAAGGTGTCTGAGCCCAGGAGATCAAATCAAATAAAGACCATAGTATGAGGTGGGGTTGATCAAGACACAATGTCCACTTTAAAAGTCAGTGTGATTGAATGTCTTCCTACTCACTTTTGTGTACTTCAGCAGTAAGCCCCTTAATTTTTACCAAGGTGAGCAACAGGAGGTCCTTTAGGATGCTGGTCTATTCCTAGATGTCCATTTTGAGTGGTCCATATGGCATTTTTGGCACTTAAATTTCCAGAGGGATTCTGTTCCTGGCTGTGTAGCCCTGTGTTCATGGATAGTTACAAATGCAAGCAGACATGGCATGTGCATTAGTAGCTAGAGCTTACATGTGCACCCATCATGGACATACAGAGCATTTATACACGTGCTCTGGGTGGGGTGAGGGCAGGAAGGGCCTTAATTAGATGGGCTCCAAGAGCTGCTCTAATTAAAGTGCCCAGAGCATCTTGTGTATCAGTGTCACTGCACTGAAAAATGATGGCAGGGCACTTTAACTGAAGTTCATTGAACAAAATTTATTTAAAGCATCCCAGCTTCCATTTTACAGCTTGGGGACTCTAGTACATGTGATGCTGGAGTCTGGTGGACCACAGTAATTACCACTCTCCAGCAGACTTGATTAATCCAGTCTGCGCCAACGCGATGTAATTACAGCATGTGGAGCAGCCTCACTGCACATGTATAGGCACCTGTAGTGACCTTATACTCCTAAAAATGGAGTTGTGATTTATACAGGCCATAAATCTGGACCCATGGAATCAAATGGAACTTCATGAATTTACATTTCCATGGATTTATTGGAATTCCATTAACTCCAATGGAATTCCACTGATTGACAGCAGTTATGTATCTGTCCCAGGGCCTCCAATGAAATTACTTGACAAGAACTGTAGATCAGCACCCATTGCCTCCAGTGGAGCAACAACAGTTTACAGAAGCTGAAGTTTTGCCCTTTTAATTCCATTAAGCTTTATCAATTTACACCCAGTGAAGATCAGGCCTACTGAGTTCAACAGAGTTCACAATATAAATGTGCTGTATACTAACTTTAATACATTACTGCACACACCAAGGAAGAAAAGAAAAAAACCCACCATTTTGTTTTTCGGTCTTCTGAATAGACTTGTGACTTGGGGATAAAGTCCCAATGGTCACAGCAACTTGAGATACTTGAAAAACAAAACACTTCATTATTTATCATCAAGATAATTTGCCATCTGTGAGGGAAGAAAAAAGTAAGAAAAAGAAAAACAGTTTCAGTCTTTACTCTGGAGAAAGATTAGAAATACAGTGAGTGTGATTAGACACCCAGAGACTTTTCTCTCTCTATATAAAAGCTGTTCAGATTGCCACATAGTTAGTTCGGTTCTTTAAAAGGTTGGCAAGAAACAACAGCTTAACAAGGTAAGTGGAATTATTTTTAAAGCAAGGGAAAATACTTAGAATCACAGTGGGGAAAATGCGTATTATAACTAAACCTTCAATGTTTGTAAGAAGAGACAACTGACAGACTATAGCTGACTGATTATAATAATGGACCAATTTGTGTAGTACTGAAGATGAGACAAGCAGAAAAAATCACATGGGAGAAAAATAATATCTATCTATCTATCTATCTATCTATCTATCTATTATAACCAACATTAATATCTAGCTACCTACATGTCCTTAGTGCTACTGAAAGCATTGTTCTAACCTATCAAAACCAACAATGTATCACCCCTATGCCTTTATTCAACTAGCTCAACCATCCATTTCTTCATCTATATCCTTTTAACAAAAAGGAAATATAAATTCTGCAAAACATTATCTTCATTGAAGCTAGCATAGGTGAAGGTATTCAAACATCTGGAGGCTGATTCATGTTTGAACCACAGAGGAGCAGTCAATGTAACATGTTGCTACAAACAACACTGTTCTTCCATGCAAAACACATGTGCATGCACACGCACACGTATGCAACAGATATAAGCAGTTAGACTGCACATTCATATGTGTGTATGTAACCTATAGACAATTCAATGGCAAATAGGAAACTCAAAGGATGTGAGCATGCCTACAAAAGCCAATAGAACTGTTCAAGTCCTTAAAGTTAGCTATACGCTGAAGTGCCTATTGCAGGGGCAGAAGAAGTAGTGGGAGAAGGTATGATAGAGAAAGTTGATGCAACACTACAATGAGAAATGAGAGACTAGAAAGAAGGAAGATAATTCTCAAGAAATATTTACTATCTCCACTATCTCCCAGGTTTATCTGATGGCAATTCTGGTGGAATTCATTCTCTCTGTACATGGACACAAATCCAATACATTGCAGAACAGTATAAGCTTTCTGGCCATCAGAGGGATGAGTGACTAGAATAATTTTCCAAGAGGAATAGAGAGGGGAAAAAATGCCAAATTAGTTTTATGATGGAGCCCAATCAGTTTATAAAAGGGATTGTATCATCTGTCTAGACACAATGATCTGGGGGATCCTTTCTAGTTCTGTGTTATTAGATGACACCATGGAAGATTTATGCTCTTATGTTCTTATGTAACTTCACAGATTTAATACAGGAAGAATTGTATGACATTCTCTCATCTGTGTTGTGTGGGATGTTAGCTTTGGCCTTTGCTGTTTAGGTTAAAATCTGTGAATATTTGGCCAAGTTATTTTGCTAAGTTGTTAACTAAACAGCAATCACAAAGCTCTAACCTCCTGACATAGAGTGATGTTTACTTCTTCGATGCCAGTAACCAAAGAAATATGTACCCAAAATATCTACAGCCATCAAGTGAAAGAATGTATGTTTTACACTTCATGGGATGTAGCGCTTCAACTTGATTTCACTAGTAAATGTGATAGAGTAGATAGTGTGATAGGCTGAATTCAGAAGATCTGGAGCAAGACTATACTCTCATTTCTACCATGTGAATCTAAATGACTTTTATTGACTTTGATTGAATGACTCCTAATTAACACCATGCAAGTAAAACTATAATCTGATTACAATTACTGTGAGTCTTCACAGTCATTTAATCTTTCTCAGACACATTACATCAGGTGCCTTAATTCTGTCTGTCTAGTCCTAAAAGTGTGACTGCATGAATGACATCAGGGTACAAGGGTTTTGATTTCTGCCTACGGTGTAAATTTGATTCAATAATGTTTTCACGCCCAACCCCAGGTGGGGTTATAGCCTTTTCCTTCTTTTGTTTTTAATGTTTGTATACTAAAGGTCCAAAAAATATATATTTATCTATATATCTACAGATGTAGATATATATAGATTGAACTATGTCTATGTCTATTTCTCTCTTTCTTGATAAAGTAATGGCCATCATAGCCCTTGTAAAATAACCTGTAAAATCTGGATGGAAAATGGTTATTTAATTTTCATAGCCATTTTCAGAAGTTCAAATGAAGTCTCTCTATATAAAGAGGCAGAATGGTTTTGTTTGTGCAGCAGTTAAGTATGAAATCTAGGATCAAGTCTTCAGTTTTCCTGTATCACATTGGGCAACTTACCTGAAACACATGATGAGATACTTAATTAACTTAGTCTTCTCTGATATCATCAGCTGAAATCTTGACGTCTCATTTTTACATCTTCAAAAATGCTATCACCTCTTTTATTTCACATTTCTCTGTCTTTCCCACTTAGATTTTAAGACAATTCATGCTGTTTCTTTCTAGATGTTTATACAGCGCCTGGCACGATGGAGCCTTGATCATGAGAAATTAGGGATGTGCTGAAAACCAGAAATAAACCCAAGGCATCCATGGTGAGATGATGCATATTTTATGCCCCTGCAGGTAAAACAGTGAGAAGATATGATACAGGGGAATGATTCTGCTATAATGGAATTCATGCTCCTGGGGATCTCCGAAAAGCCTGAGCTACAGTCTCCACTCTTCTTCATCTTCCTGATTGTCTTCATCCTCATCCTGATGGTGAACTTTCTGGTTATCATCACCACAGCATGTGACCCTGTGCTTAGCACCCCTATGTACTTTTTCCTCAGGAACTTGGCTTTCATGGAGATCTGCTATACCTCTGTCACCATCCCCAAAATGCTGATTAACCTTATATTGAAGAAGAAGACCATCTCTTTTGTTGGCTGTGGTGTCCAGTTCTACTTTTTCCTCTTCCTGGGTACTGCATTGTGTTATATTCTGGCTGTTATGGCTTATGATCGCTATGTTGCCATCTGCAACCCACTTCAGTATGCAGCCTTCATGAGTAGGAAGGTTTGTATCCTGCTGGTATCAGGATGTTGGGTTATTGGCATATCTGTGTCCCTTAGACAAGTAGCCCTGGTATTCAGCATGCCCTTTTGTGGCTCCAAGATTATCAACCACTTCTTTTGTGATGCGCCACCTCTGTTCAGGCTTCTTTGCTCAGGCATCTCTATGAATAAGGTGGAAATAGTTTTGACAAGCATCTTGATCATCATCATCCCTTTTTCACTCATCTTTTTCTCATACATTCGCATAATCACCACTATACTCAGGATCCAATCAGTAGATGGGAGGAGCAAGGCCATCAACACTTGTTCCTCACACCTCATTTCTGTTTCCCTGTTCTATGGCAGTGCCATATTTGTATACCTGAGACCCAATTCTAGTAACACACCAGGTGCAAATAAACTGCTCTCTCTCTTCTACACAGTGACCCCTGCCATTTTAAACCCAATCATTTATAGCCTGAGGAACCACCAGGTAAAAGGGGCTTTAAGAAAACTATTAGGTGGAAAGATAGCTCCTCAAAACACCTGAATAATTTTAGGTAACCTTGTATAAATTGGGAGTTACTCCTTTAGTGTTAGTATCTCTTCCTCACCCCTGTGTATACTAGGAGTAACTCCATGAAATTTAATTAAGTTGACCACAGCTGCAAACCAGGTGTGTCTTTTTATTATCAATGCAATGGCATTGTATTTATATGAATCAAGAATTAGTCTATTGAATTCAACTGAGCTACACTAGTTTGGATGAGGTTTGTGTTGGTGTGTGTGTGTGTGTATGCGTGCCTGTATGTGCATGCATGCACATGTGCATATGTGCAGTGTAAATCAGAAGTAACTTCAGATAATTCAATTGACAATAGTATAACTCTCATATATTGAGGAAAATAGTGATCCAAGGTAGAGGGGTGTATTTGCTTTGCTTCCAGCTACACCCATGCAAATCTGGAGAAAATCGTTCTAAGCCAGTATGTAGGTATGGATTTAATGTAAGTGAGATCGGCATCTATCCCATTCTATGGCGTTTGTCATGTTCCATCTTCCAACAATAAGCTAAAACTGTACAAGGCACAAACTAGATATTCAGTCTCTCCTTACATACATGTGTGTCATTCATATGTCCATTAACAGGTTTTCAGTTTCTCTTGAAATACAATACTGTAAGTGTGTTCAAAACCAGTGCCAAGGATATTAAATCCAATTATGGTCTTAAAGAGCTTTGAATATAAGGGTTTTGATTATCTTCTGTACTGAAGTTACTTTACACAGATCTGGAAATTTAAAGAGATGCATGCTACAGGTACACTTCTTTTAAAGCCCCATTCTACTGCTAAAGTAAAGGAGCTTTATGGTGTAAGTTGGAATCAGACCAGTGTAATTTAACTAACTTCAATGGATGACATTCTGCTCCCTGTGAAAGTTAATTCTACTGATGTGCAATATCAGTTTAAATGGTGCAACAACTTCAGGAGACAAGACAATATGATCTATTCTGAGAAGCTAACAGCTTACAGGATTGCAGCTCAACTTATGTATTTGATAAAAACAGTGAAATGCATCTTCAAATTCCTATTGCCTCCACCTGAAATTGTAGTGCTGAATAGAAAAATATTTCCTTGATTTATTCTTTCATAGATTTCATAGATTTCATAGACATTAGGGCTGGAAGGGACCTCGGAAGATCATTGAGTCCAGCCCTCTGCCCCAGGGGCAGGAAGTCAGCAGGGATCATAGGATCCCAGCAAGATAAACATCCAGATGACTTTTGAAGGCTTTCAGAGCAGGTGCTTGAACCACCTCCGGAGGCAATCTGTTCCAAACCTTGGAGGCTCGGGCAGTAAAGAAGTTCTTCCTTATGTCCAGCCTGAAACGGTCACGGGGGAGTTTGTGACCATTCGACCTTGTCAACCCTTGGGGTGCTCTGGTGAACAGATGTTCCTCCAGATCATGGTAAGCACCCCTGATGAACTTATATGTGGCCACCAGATCACTCCTGAGCCTGTGCTTTTCCAGGCTGAAGAATCCCATGGCTCTCCGCCTCTCTTCATAAGGTCTGCTTTCCTGACCTCTGATCATGCACATGGCTCTCCTCTGCACTCTCTCAAGCTTCTCCACATCCTTTTTGAATTGTGGAGCCCAAAACTGGACGCAGTACTCCAGCTGCGGCTGCACCAAGGCTGAGTACAATGGGAGGATGACGTCCTGGGATTTACTTGAGAAGCATCTGTGGATGCAAGCAAGCATTTTGCTTGCTTTACTAGCAGCAGTATCACATTGCAGGCTCATGTTCATCTTGTAGTCAATCATGACCCCCAAGTCCCTTTCATCTGTAGTGCTAGCCAGTGTAGCACTGCTGAGCCTATAAGGATGCTGCAGGTTTTTCTTCCCAAGGTGGAGAACCTTGCATTTTTCAGTGTTAAATATCATCAGGTTCTCGTCTGCCCATTTCCTGAGCCTGTCAAGGTCAGCCTGGATCACCCTCCTGTTTTCAGGTATGGATGCTTTACCCCGGAGTTTGGTGTCATTGGCAAACTTGGCCAGTCGCTTCTGATACCAATGTCCACATCATTAATGAAGATGTTAAATAGTATAGGCCCAAGGACAGATCCCTGGGGACCCCACTGGTCACAGGGCACCACGATGATTGACTTCTGTCAACCACCACCCTCTGGGTCCTGTCACGGAGCCAATTCCCCAGCCAGCAGATCATGGTGTGGCTGAGGCTTTTTTTAAAGTCAAGATATATGACATCAATCTCTTCTCCTTTGTCCAGGTGATGGGTCACCTGGTCGTAGAAAGAAATGAGATTGGTTAAGCAAGACCTACGCGCAACAAATCCATGCTGGCTATCCCTCAGGATGTTGCCATCAGCCAGTCCGTTAAGAATGGTCTCTTTGATAATCTTTTCTAAGACCTTCCCTCAGATAGAGGTCAAGCTGATGGGCCTGTAGTTTGCTGGATCCACTTTCCTCCCTTTCTTTAAGATAGGCACAACATTGGCCTTCTTCCAATCATCGGGCAGTTCACCAGAGCACCAGGAGTTCTCAAAGATCCATGCCAAGGGCTGGGCTATGATGCTAGCCAGCTCCTTGAATACCCTGGGGTGTAAACTATCAGGGCTGGCTGACTTGAAGGTATCCTTCTGACTTGATGAATGGTAAGGAATCTTCCTCACCCGGGCCTCTGTCCCATAGTGGGCAGGGGCGTCCCATGGGACTTATGAAAAACCAGTGCACTTAGCAAGTTGGCTTTTTACTGGGCGTTCATTGTCAGTTGTCCCATCTGGTTTAGCAGGGGCCCAATGTTGCCCTTGCTTTTCCTCTGGCTCCCCACATAGCTTTATTGGTACAGGTCTCAATGTAGGGTTCTCAAAGAAACATACAGGAACTGAATACTCATTGAAATGTAAACATCCCAGCACCTTCTTATGTGAACAGTTATTCAAAATTATTCTGCTTCTGACTGTCTCAACTCATGGCTCATGATAAAGAGTTCTTACAGAAGAAAACACAATTTAAGTACCGATTAAACACATAAGTTCAAATGTAACATCCCTATAACTGGGTTCATGGCTCAGGGGTGGGATCCCATCTGTTGGGGTCATGAGTAATAGCCTACCTGCTCAAGGGTACAGAGCCAGCTTCCAGGGATGATTCCCTGGTCCATAGGAAGTTAAAAGCTCCTGGGGAGGGGAGACTGGGGGAGAGGGAAGGCTGTAGTGCTGAGGAGGCATCACAGAGCCAGGGTTTCTCTCTACAGATTCAAGGAAGGAGCACAGGTTTTGATTGTTTGTATATTTGTTTGTTTTATATTTGATGTTGTTTCCTGTGTGTACAGGTTTGCCCAGAAAAATTAAAAGCTGAGTGACAATTTCCTACAGTCCTCCCCACTCCCTTCTCCCACCTCAAAAAAACCTCAGAAGCCGACTAATCTTAAGATGCCTAAACACACAGGGAAACATATTCTATACCACCTATAAGTCATTTAAGTGAAAGGAAGTGTCTAAGGGTGGAATCCTAGTCCTTGTGTAGATGCACAAACATGAGGGTGCCAAAATGTGATCTGGAAGTGAGATTTCATTATTTCACCTGGATGGCTAGAAGTTCCTGAAGCAACCAACAATATCTTATCTGGATGACCGAAATTTTGGCACCATTGCATTTTTTAAAATATAATTCTGTTGATTTTTAGTGGGCCAAAGTTGGGTATGCGTGCACCAAAATCAGTGATATAAGAGCACAGCTGCACCCCTAGAAAGTATGACCCACAGAGGCAGACTGTGCTATGAATTCCACAGCCATGAACAATGTTTGCATGTTAACACACAAGGTAAGAGAAGGTCTTTAGAAAGTAAATGAAAAAGCATTCTCTGAAAATTTTGCAGGGCTACAGTAACAGGTTCAGCATCTTCCTTCTTTCATGCACTGAAAACTCTAAAGGAAGGCAAAGAGAGTCTAGCAACTAAGGGCTTGCACCCAAGTTTCAGAGCATTCCTGAGCACTGCAGCTGTAAAAGGGCAGATTCCTGTCTTGAAGAAATGCCTGGTGCTCCTATATGTTGCTGCTCTCTTTGAACAATGGGCTCTTGGGCATCTGCTTCCTCAGCTGATGAGATTCCAAAGGACACTGGTCCTGTATGCAGCACAGAAATATCTGGGTCCACCTCTGTGACAGTCCAGAAGTCCCTGGCATTTACTGCCAGGCACTTAGGCAGACAGGTCCTTCTGTGAGCTCTCAGTGCAGCCCACGGTGAGTTTGGAAAACACATCTCTAACTCCCAAATAATGATTCTTCTTCAATGCCAAGCATGAAGTGTAGACCGAGCAGAGGGAGATGCAGGAGAGCTAGCAGGAGAGAAGGAGAAAGGCTCAGGGCAGGCCCCCTTCCCAGCCACTGAAGTCCTGTTTTTCATTTCCCTTCTCCACAGTAAGTGAAATCATTCAAATGCCACCCTTCAAATTCCTGGAAGAGGCCACCCTTCTCCTTGTTTCTGACCAAATAAAGGATACCCTCTTCATCATGGCAGATGGATATCCCCGAGAGTATGAAAGGAATTATTTCAGAGGCTTATAGGGTCTCATTCGGCCCCAGAATGGAGAGGTCAGGCTAAGGCTTTAATCCCTGCAGCCCTAGCTCAGCTCTTGTAGGACCTTCATCTGCTGGAGAATATATGGAAGTGAGACATGTTCCCAATCTCTAACTTAACCCTGAGCTCCACCCAGGGAGTCCTGTACTAACCCCAGCACTCACCTTCCTGTGACTTTCCATTCCACTTAACAGCCTGATGTATCCACCACCCCACTTGCTCCTTCCCTTATCCCCACCCCAAGGAGGTAAGTCCCCAAGATCCCCAAAAGGCCAGTTCTGGGGGTGGGGAGGGCATGGAGCAAGGTTGGGACAGAAATTAATGCTGAGACATGAGCAGCCAAGTCTGGGATCACTCAGGGATTGAAGTGTTGACAAAGGTCAGGAGAAGTGAGCATAATCCAGGGACAAGCTGGGTCAAGAAACCAGGAGGTCAATTCAAGAGTGA